TTCTTAGTGCAAAGTCTTTTTAGAAGACTGCATGCTTTTTTGTGTTGCATCCGAAGAAAATTCTTGATGACGCAAATTATGTGCGATGATATTTTTCATACATTGATTTCTTACAAATAATAGTATACTTATGAACATTATAATACGGATAAAAAAAAATATATAATTCTGCATTCAGTTTGATTTTAATATTTTCATGTAAAAGATAAACGAGGGGATTATAATTTTCTATGATAATGTCGAATATTTTAATAATGTTTTTAATGCTAAGTAATTAATTTTTTTACAGTAATAGAAAATATCCAAAGACTTGTAATTGACGGTATATACCGGGGGAAAAATTTATCTTCTCAAAATTTGTCGTAGCGATTATTAAATCATTATGGCAAAGTTTCTACAACAATATCATATTTTTATGCACTATCGTTTCTCATTTTTTATTCTAAAAATTATATATTTCTTTGGTATAATTTGCTTCGATCTCTCTTAATATTTCTTAGCAATTTTCTCAATAATTTTCCGATCAAAATATTCCGAAGAACCATTTGATTCGCAATTTTTGGAATCTACAGTTCTTTTCTGCGAAATGAAAATTTCGCTCTAAATTTCGCTACAAAAAATATTTTTTTGCACTATCGTTTCTCATTTTTGATTCTAAAAATTATATATTTCTTTGGTATAATTTGCTTCGATCTCTCTTAATATTTCTTAGCAACTTTCTCAATAATTTTCCGATCAAAATATTCCGAAGAACCATTTGATTCGCAATTTTTGAAATCTACAGTTCTTTTCTGCGAAATGAAAATTTCGCTCTAAATTTCGCTACAAAAAATACCCGAGTGCTCTCGGGCACTCAAAAAAGCAGGAGGCTCCTCCTCTCGACGAACGAATACCGTAACACATTCGCGGATATAAAAATGAATGCTCCTGTATGTAAAGAGAAAGAGGGAGGATTTTTTTGCCCAAATGTAGATATATACGCGTGACTCGGCCCTACCTTCCGTATGTGTTTGCCGAGTGCAGGGGATGGGGGTGGAGGGTGGACGCACTCGGTTGCCCTAGGCCAGAACATGCATTATTGGATAGAGTTACGTTAAACATACGCGGCGGGTATGCACCGCACACGCTTTCCAATTCCGGTATCTTCTTCCCGTCTCTCGCGAGCGCGTTATTCGCGCCACGGGATATCGAGTGAAACCCCCGGATGAGTTTGCAGCCGACAAACATCGCGGGGTATCGTGCGTGTCACCGGTGAACGCCCGGGTATTTCTCACCGGCGGCATGCCCGTTCCTTCGTAATTATTGCGCAATCTAATTATGCATGATATGCCCGAGAGATCGCATTTTTATTCCTCGCGCAGATTGCCCGGCAAATATATTTTTATTGTTACAAATAATAGTATTATTAATAAACGGGGAGACCTCTTAATAGCGCGTAATATTTTTATATACGCTCCATTTCGAGGATTTCATTGTATGATATACCTATATTGATTAAATAAAATAAAGCACAAATATGAACGAAACGAAAGATGAAATGTTAGCTTAGGTTTGATAATAATGCTGCTAGCCTATACATTTTTTTAAGTTGGAAACAATGTAGAGATTAATTTGAAAGAGAGACGTCTAATTTGAGAAAGAAAAATTAGATATAATATGAGACAAGAGAGAGGGCGTGAATTATAGTCTTAAATACTGTAATAATAAAATATTGTAGTAATAAAAAATAATATAAGTTATAATATAAAAAAAAGATAATTCTCGAGTAAAATTCACAATGAAAATAAATATGATTCTATAGATAGGATGAAGGTATAAAAATGAAGTATATTAAAAATTAAATAGTATACAAATAAAGAATAAATAGCATTAACATAAAAGATTATTACATAATCGAACCTTTTAATGTTATATGGAAATTCATCGAATGAAATATATCTAATTAAGACTATATATCCTATTATTATGGAACCAACCATCAATTTTTTCGAAATTTTTATTGCAAATTATATCTGAAGATATCAGGCACAATTTGTAATAAAAATCTCAAAATCGAAAAAATTGATTGTTCCATATTGCAGAACTGCATCCATATATAAAACAAAGATAAAATGTATTCTTATAGATATATTGTACTCAATGAAATCGATTTTCTATCATAATAAAAGAATGTTTATTATTTGAGATTGAATTTAACATAATTATTTTAAAACTTCAAGAATCTAATAAAAGAGTAATAGCAAACGAAATAATATTAATAATCTCACAACGATCAGAAATATCGCGGTTCCAAAATTTGCACAACTTCTGAACACGAAGGATAAAAATGACGTAAGTCAACAAAAATTACTTGGTGCACACAGAGATTTAATAAAATTTTGTAAAGACAATCCGAATGTTCTATTCACACGCGCGGACAAGGGTAATGCTACGGTGGCAATGGAAAGATCTTATTATATTAACAAAATGGAAAACGTTTTAAAAGATGTCAACACTTACACTATTGTTAAAAAAAATCCGTGCAAAAAAATAGAGAACGATTTGAATGATTTGTTGAAGAGATGGCTTAAGGAAGATTATATTTCAAAAAACGAATATTATAAATTACGTTGTAGTGATTCTCTCCTTCCAAAAGCGTATGGATTACCTAAAATCCATAAGGAAAACTATCCAGTTAGAATCATAGTTTCATCGGTTGATACAGCTCTATACTCGCTGGCTTCGTTTTTACAAAACACCTTACGAACTAGCCTACCCAAAGCGAAAAGTCATATTAATAATAGTTTTGATTTGTACAGCATATTGTCTGGTAAAAAGATTGATGAGAATGATAGGATGTTTTCCTTGGATGTGGTGTCTTTGTTTACGAACGTTCCTCTGGATCTTGCGATTGACGGTATTAACGATAGATGGGATCACATTGGAATAAATACTAAAATACCGAAAAACGAATTTTTGGGGGGTATAAAATTCATATTGACTTCTACATATTTTACATTTGATGACATAATTTATAAACAGACGTTTGGGACCCCTATGGGGTCACCGTTATCACCAATTATTGCAGACCTGGTTATGCAAGATCTTGAGGATACAGTTCTCAAAGCGTTGAATTTGGAATGTTTGTTTTATTTTCGTTATGTGGATGACATAATAGTGGCCACCTCTATGACTAATATGACTCAGATTGTGAATAATTTTAACAACTATCATGAAAGACTTAAATTCACGGTCGAACAAGAGGTTAACCATAGCTTGAATTTCTTAGATTTATCACTTAAAATTATTAATAACAAAATATATATAGACTGGTATCAAAAAGAAACCTTCTCAGGAAGGACGTTATCATTTTATTCAAACCACCCATTATGCCACAAAATTGGAATAATATATAACCTTGTAGACAGATGTCTATTGCTATCACATCCACTATTTTTTAATAAAAATTTGGAGTTAATTATTAATATACTCAGAAGCAATGGTTACCCTCTTGATCTGATTTTTAACAAAATTAATCATCGGATAGAACACATCATATCTAAGGGGAGCATTATAGAGAGACAGGCCAACATAGAAAAAACAAAAAGTATAAGAAATGACTCGGTCAATAAAAAATTCTTTGTCATTCCGTATATAGATGGGATCTCAGAAATGATTGTTTCCTCGGTAAAAAATAAAAATTGTATGGTAGGGTATAGATGTCTCAACAAACTGGATAATATTATTAAAGCGCAGAAAGATAAAACTAAACATCCATGCAATTCGAATGTGGTTTATAAGATCAGTTGCATAAATTGTAATGCATCTTACGTAGGCCAAACAAAGAGGCAATTGCAGACGCGAATAAAAGAACATAAAAATAATATTAGGTTGGACTCAACGAAACATTCAGTAATTTCTGAACACATAATAAATGAACATCATACTTTTAATTGGGACAATGTTAAGATCATGGACAACGAAAATAATTATTATAAAAGACTCATTTCTGAGATGCTACATATCAAGGAACAAAAAAATGGACTAAATTTAAACAAAGATACTGAGTTACTTAGCGAGTCGTATTTTGATATTTTGGATATATTAGCGAACAAGAAATAATAATAGGACAAATAGGACATTAACGAGTAAAACATAGATATTAGATCATATATAAACACGCACGCTCTCCGATCAAGTAGAGTTTAAAATGAGCTGTCTTTCTGTATTGTTGGTTTGTTATGTGTCATCCTTAATAACTGTTAATAAGTAGCAAAATTGTCAAGAAGAACGATGATAGGTAACATACTACCAATTGTAGGGGATACATATTATAATTTGGACATACGTTGATCGGTAATTTTTTATTAATCGCAGCGCCTACGGAACGGGGTAATTTCTCGCATATTAACGATGAAACTATCCGAGATCTGAACAAAATCAGGGATCATATCGAGGCGAACATTGTTGGACAGGACGGATTGAAACACTCGTTAATTGCTCAAAAACTCTTGATTCTGAATAACTATAATTAAATTTCGATATTATGTGAATTGTAAGAATTTATATTTCAATAATTATACTGAAGAAGACCGCGTGCGGTCGAAACGTTTATAGAATGATTGTAATTTGCGTTAGTTTTAATATAATGACTGTAGTTTTATAATTTATACATGTAATAAATGGTAGTTGACTGAACATCTCGAATATTCAGCTCGATAAGTTGGCCTTATATTTATCACTTTGCTAATAAAAGATATAATTTGTTTTTTATATTTTATTTTAACTGAAATGGATATAAATTCGGTAGCTTTTAATGTTTGATATTGAATAATTTCATAAATAGTTTATTAATAAATGGTAAATTATCGATATAATGTTGGCATTTTGTGCACTAAAAATGTTTAAATAAGACAAAATAAAATATTTTATCCGTAAGAAATGACATATTTATAAATTTTACGAATCTAGACAAAATGAAATTGAGAGAATAACACATATATATAAATAACTTAGTAAGCTTTTAAGATCCTAAAGTTTTTATTTTAATTTGCGTACATTTCAAAAAAGCATCGATTATATAATTATTTAATAATTATATGCGGAATAAAATTCGCCATTTCAACAAATTCTGTATTTATGCAATAGCTGTATGTATACGTATATACGAGGCAAAGTAGGCCTTATTTTTCACATACATACATACACACACAACACACACACATACGGTCCTCCTCGTATATAAATAACTGCGAAAAATGTCATCAGGATAAATCGCATTCTCGATAAACACTCTATAACTAATTTTTTCATATCACAGAGTCATATAATTAATTGTTTGATTGCAATTTTAATTCGGTGTAGCAAGCATGGTCTCTATTATTCTCGATAATTCGGATACGCTTGATAATTCGGTCCTTGTACATACGTATCACATGCAAGAAGAAGGTGTGGCAGGAGAGTTTGCATAATATTATCGGACGATTTGAAATATATCTACCAATATTATTCCGTCAAAGAGATATTAATAAAACTGTATTGCGAAGAACAAATTAGCAGCAGCAAGAGAACTTTGAAGAAATTCATTAGATCATCAAATATTCTTTAGAACGATTTAGTAAAAATTGGATTTGAGCGAACACTATATATCGTTGTCTGTATACTATTATAAGCTCTGCGGATTTTTTTTGTTTTATATATGCTCTTACACAATAAATATTCAACTATAAGATTGAAACTCTATCAGCCATGCAAAAATGCTCAAAATTGAATTTATAAGAGAAAGAGAGAAAGAGAGAATATATGTATATACATATAATTATAATACTAATTTATAGAGATATGAATTTCTAGCATTAAAAGGCACAAATGTAAATAGCTATTAGATCAAGTATATTTTAACTCGCATCCGCAAATTATTTAAGAAAAACTGCCGCATTCTACATCTTGCTTGCAGCGAATATAAATATGCAACAGCATATGTTTATGCTTTCAGCATAAAAAATAGAGATTTTAAAATGCATAAATGGAAAATTACTTTCTCTGTTTGAACATCTAAACAGAGATTATAGATGGGAAATATACAGATAGAAGATTATAGATAAAAATTTTTAAACTGCATAGAAAGAAATTTGAATTACGCATCTTTTGCGTAATAACGTCTAATGTCGGAATTTGATATCTGGACCCCTATTCTCAAGTTTGGCACATACGGCTATTTGTTTGCGCGTATATTTTGGAAGAAAAAACAAGCATTCAATATTTAATCCAGATAATATGTCTGAGTGAAATTTTTTATGTGGATAGTAATGGTTAAACCTCGGATGTCTTTACGGTGCCTTTGACAAATCAATGTGCCAGTTAAAACTTCACCTAAAACCAAAAGGAATAGAATAAATATAAGAGAGAAAATGGTGACATATTAGTTGTAAAAATCAATTACACATATAATTTACCTTCAGTTATACTAATAGGCTCGCTTAAGGAAAATACTGTCTGTTTCCAATGTGTCGGCGTAGAATGAGGACCTGTGCTGAAATGTACCGGGTTCTCGAAATCGAAAAAAATATCAAAATAGCCGATTATCGCGGTTAACGATCCTGTCTTTTTTACATTCAACGTGAAGGGGGACGAGAAATTAACGCAATCCGTAGTGACTTTGTACAAGTCGAAAGCTTGGATCTCGGCGGTGTTCGTTATCAGATTATCGACATTACAGACCTCTATACTTGGTTCACGCACCACCTCTCTTTTCATGCAGCTCATTTTAAAACCATACACGTTCGACCAATAATCAACCAATTCGATATATCTCTCTGTGTAAAACAATAATAAATAAATATATATATATGTATAAAATAGCTTTAAATAATATTGGATTATACCCTTTAAATTCAAAATCTTTTGCTAAGAAACATATTTAATTATTGCAGGAAAAATTATAACACATACTTGTGTCACCGCTTCCCATAATACTAATTGTGCATCTGTTTGGAAGAATTACTCCATCGGGTGTCAGATAATGTTCCCTAGCATAAATTACTGTATCTAGCATTCCTTCAAATAAGAGAAAATATCCCATCCACTCGGATATTATTGCATCCACTTTATCTACTCCTATATTAATATCTTCTAGACGACCCTTTTTTAAAGTAATTATGTCACTGAGATTGTTTTCCCTAAAATCAATCAATTTTATTATATAATATACCCTCTCTCTTTCTCTTTCTACATATCTATATATAAAATGAATTTTTAATAGAAACTATCTGATTTTTCTCTAATTTTTGATAATCTTAAATTTACAAAAAAGAATTTAATCATAAATAGATATACAAAATATAATTTGTACCTTATTATATCCATAGCGTGATATATCACATCAGACTGATCGACACTGATAACCTTACGACAACCAGACTTTGCTGCAAACATTGACAGGATACCAGTACCACAACCAACATCCAGCATTACACAATTATGAAATCTGTTAGAATTTGTTAATAATGCATCGCGATAGCTTTCTGTTCGCACTTTATCCTGAAAAAGAAAAAAATATTTCTTCTATTATGTTTCCGTATACAAAATCTATTAATTAGTATTCTATTTTTGCATAAAAATTACTTAATATTTCTTTAACTTTAAAGATTAAACTCTTCAATATCTTATGTCTTATAATTTTGCAAATATTTATATTAATCAAGTTAATAATCAATATTATATTGTAAATTATAAACTCTCATTAAAGTGATTTGGCTGGTAGAATTGATTAGAAACTTACTGTTAACATTTCATGATGTATAGCAAAGTGACTATATGTACTGAAATAGCCTTCGTCAACATTGGGGTTGTGAGCATTGACCAAAGTACTTTTTTCTTTTCCATCGAAATCATCGCCTAGTATTAACTTCCGAGCTTTCTCTTTTACCTCTTCCATTTCCTATAAAAAATAATTTTTCCTAAATTACAATACATATAAAAATGATTATATATCTGATGATTGTATATCTCTATACCTGCTTGACTAAGAAACATGTTGTCTCACTTTCCTTCAGCTGAGATTTAAGCGATCTTATAGTTCTTTTCATTTCCTCATATTGTGTTTTTGATAAAGTGACACTATCATTAGTTTGGTGTATGTGTGTTGCTTCTTTTTCTTCACTCATATCCTTGATTTTGATGAGATCTTCAACATCTTTATTAGAATATAATATTTTATAAGTTAGTGTATAATTTAATGTAATATCGTCAACAGAAAAATTGCTTCTTAGATTCTTATACTTGCCGTACATTAACCATGGGTCGTCCTTCATAACTGGACATAAATTTGTGTCTTTGTCCCAAGCTTCTACACTCAGTGTACTCAATTTTTCAGGTGTAATCTCCTCATAGCGAATAAAATTGATTAACTTGATATATGAATAAGTATCGTGAATATGTTTCCTTATAAAATCGCAGAAGTTAAACTTATGAAACATTTCAATATGCTGCAGTATAGAAGGAAATCCATCATTTGGACTGACTCCCGTACAAAATAAACACGGAATTCTCTCGTGTTGATCCTCACTAATTTCCTCCCAATCATCTCCGTTGTCACTGTCACTTGCCAAGTCGTCATATCCTTAAAAAAAAAAGAGAAAAATTAAGAGAATATTTGCAGACATTTATCAGAAAATAACGCATATCACAGCAATATAAATAACACATCTTTCACACAAAATAGATATATTTTAAAATCGGATTCCCCAAAAAGCAATACATTATTCGTATTTTGCAAATGGATTGCTTCACTTGCCGATTACAAATTAAACAGGCTACAGTTTCTTACTGCTTCTTGATTTGTTACATATAACTTTCATTAATATTTTACCTAATTTCGCCATGATAAACTTCACTTCTCTTGTAATTAGTTAACCGTAAAATTGGTTCGCAACTAGGAAAGGCCTCACGCAAGTCGAGTCGAAAGCACGTGTCAAGTAATGATGCGTGTCAATGACGGAAACAAGCCGTCTCTTTTCTAGTGTAGAGTTCGCGCTATTGTACGCGTTATTACTACAATACCGAGCGAGTCAATGAAAACAACGCAAACGAGTATGAATGGACTCTGATATATGAATTACATTATTTAAACAAAATTATATTAGTATATAATTTATTTTTTTTTAAATATATTAATATTCCACCATACTTTCAATTATGGGCATCCGCAGGATTTTTTCCAGGACATGATTAAAATTTTTTCCTTTTTTTTTTTATTTTTTTATATTAAATATGTAAATAAATTTCAGTGTTTGGTGAAAAAGAAAGCAAATACTTAATTTTTTTATTGATTCCAAAAGGAAGCAAATGCTTTCAATTATTAATATTCGACCACACTTTCAGTTATACTCTAAATTAGAATAAAATAGAATTAATTCAAATATATCAAAATTGAAGAAAAAAGAACAATTTATTAGTCTTTTAATTAAAATATGATTTACTTAAAATATTTTCATGTATAAGAAAATTAATGTTATGTACTATAAAAATCGATTTCAGACACTTTATAAAACAATTTTAGAGCTTCTAATATATATACAACATACAAAATATATACATATTAAAAATCCTTTTTCTCTTACAAATTTTCAATGATCTATACGTTATAGGCACATAATACATGACGAGAGAACAAATATTGATAAAATATATTTGTTTTATAAGTGATGTAGCTATGAGAGAAATGTAGTTATTGGTGTATAGTTTCGTGATTATCGTTCGACGTTGGACGTTTCACGAAAGTAACATCAGCTTCAGCGTTCCCGAGTTTCCTTTTTACACCCATCTCGCTCGACACAGGCTTGTTAATCTCGCGATACAAATTTTGCGCTACGTGAAAGTCCACGTGTTCGCAAAACTTCGTTATAGGTATCATCTGATCGCACTCGGCGCATCGTTCCAGAGGCACGTCGTTCTCGTTCGAATCGGTTTTGATTAGAAAATTGTACAAAGGACTCTTGCCACTCTTGCTGGCGATTTTGGACTTGGCGGGTCTTCCTCTCTTCGTCTTGGGTAAATCTGTAACCGCCTTAACGCTCTCTTGTTTCTTGCTTCGCGATTCCGTATGTAATCTTGCTTCTTCCTGCAAATCGGCCGGCAACAGTGATAGAATATCGGGATCTATATCATCCAAATTTGGAAATATTTCTCGCAATCGTATCAAGGGATCTTGCGCGGAAGTTCCTTCGTTGTTCTCTGAAGACTCTTTATTGTTGCTTACATAGGTATACATGCGACTCGTGGAAGGTTTTTCGTGAGCGTCCTCTTGTACGCATAAATTAGGATTATAATTGTTCTCGTTATTTGCATCCGTTTCATCCGCGCTAGATGGTTCCCCGTATTCCAATTCTTCGGCATCGATCTTCTCGTCGATATTATCAGAACATTCCTTTTTTTTAGTCTTGTATATGTTCATAAAAAACGAATCTTGAAAATCGTTTTTATTTATCGTCATTTTCGATAGACATTTAGCTTTAGATTCAGCCTTTTCGCGCTCATTGCACACCTGAATCAACTTGACAACTCTTTTTGATATAGGCGAATCCTCGGCGCTCATATTTAACGAATTATTGAGGACTCTCTTATTTGTTTTAATCATCGGTTTGCTAATCGTTGCGACTGATTCTTTGATTATTTGTTTCTCTTCCATTTTTAACAATGAGTCTTCTTTGTTGACATTAGTAAATGACTTTTCTTCTTTTATCTCTAAACTAGATGAGGAATTTATCACATCTCTAGGCGAATTTATAATATCCGATTTATCAGAATCTGTCTTGTTGCTTTCTTTATCTTTCGATTTAACATTTTTAAAAAATTTTAGAAAGCTTCCACTCTCTTTGGATGGTACGAATTTACTAGCAGAAATACCCATAAACGCCACTGGAGATCGTGTTGACTTGGTGATAACTTCCACGCATTGACTTGCTACTTTTTCTGATTTATACGAGTTCAAAGCGAGCGAACGTGTTTGCGATACGATATTTTTGTCCTGACAGTAATGATAAAAGATAGTGAGTAGCGTCGCGCGTCGCTGATTCTCTTCAAAATCTTGTTCAAGTCGTTCACAAACTTCTGCAGCCAAATCTCCAGCCCAGTGCTTTAACTATATATAAAATATATGTGTATTTAAAATATATAAGCATTATCTTTTCGAATATTTTTCATATATTATTAGAATTTATGTTTAATAATATCCCATACCACTTCTAATGAGGTAATAGCTTGTTTTCCAGGGAAATTTTTAAATGCGGCAATAGACTTTGATAATAATCTGTTAGTGACAGGTTCGTTGTCTACACCTCGGGCAATGTTATATAGCCACAAACTAGAGAATTAGAATTATAAATTATTAGAAATAACAAATTATTAATTATGATTGAATCTTATAAACGTTTATAAATAGTTTGATGTTTTGACTTACCCTGTTTTTTCATCAAATCGTTTTTGTAATTGTTCTAAAGAATATTGCAATAAATCTCCCATAACATTGCAACCAAGAGATTCGACCACAATATCGCCAAATTTTCCACCAAGATTTCGAACTTTTTTTACCGGTAGTGTAGAGTAAAGACTTGGAACAGCTGTTTCAGGCAAAATTGTTTGGCAATTCGGCTTATGTAATCCACACGCTAATTTTGCTAATATCTATTAATGAAATTTCATTTAGTTAATATGTAAGTTACATAAAAATATGGAGAAAATATTTATACCTTATTCTGTGAAATTCCAGCAGAACATCTAAATCCAGTTTCTTGATATATGCTAGCCCTTATTTCTTCTACTATTACACCAGCTACGGCAAGTTTCTGAGCTTTAATATCATGCAGTTCTTTAAAAGTGTCCAGTATCCAAGTCTGTAGCCCTTGAGATCTCTCTTCTAAATACATTTAAGATATATTTAAGATATATATATATATATTTCAGTTCAGAAAGTCAGCAGAGTATAATTTTCTTTTTCATTACCTTCATCATTTTTATTAATTTCTGAATATCCTACAATATATGTATTTGCAAGAGATGATATTAGTTCCTTTGGAGTAATATTAGTTGCAGTTAATCTTTTATCAACAATATCTGTAATATCAAGATATGCCTCATCGACACTTGCACGTTCTATCACATTACAGTGTTTTTTTATAACTTTAATAACTGAGCTACCAGCTTTCCTATACCTGTATGGATCATACAAATTGTTAACACTTAATACATCAAATGTTAAATTATATGATATAAATAAATAATTAGCATATTCTACTAATAGAAATTAATTCTAATAGCAAACTGCTACCTTGATGTGTCTGCTTTTCCACGAAGACATGGAACGGTAACTAAAACCAAGTCCGGACATTTTTCTTTAGCTTCCTTTCCTCTCATATGCCTGGTTACTCCAAAACTTCGTGCCTGGTAATTAACAGCTATTATGCTGTAACCAATCAAATGTATGAATTTCAATGAACTTATAATAAATGTTTAAACAAAAAGTAATCAGATTAACTCTGGAGCAAATATATTTTCGAAAAATAGGATAGAATAGGAAAAAAAGGATTAAGGAGATAAATTTTCTTTGTTAATTGAAGAAGTTTATTTTTATCATAGAATATCAAGAATGAATGAAGTCTATGACTTCACGTAAAATATATATAAGTGATTAAATTATAAATATATTACCCGCCCATTTCCCATTGATTATATTGAACAACAGCGAGCGGTTTTCCTTCGTGTTGTGGTTGCAGCTTCGTCTCGACCTGACAGAAGAAGCAATCCATGTCGACCAGGACGACGATTCTATTAGCTGAATTTGCCATTTTTTACACAATATATTTAAATTTTTTTTATAAATCTAGTACGTCCCAATTAATAACTTATAAAACATTTTTCTAAGGTTAACTGACGCGAGCGATTAACATCGCTCGCTCCATTTTTTTTGACAGGTTACAGCTGTGATTTTGGCGGGATCGAATCACATGATTTCTTTTATCCATAGACATTTAAAAACCATAGATGGAACAATTCAATCGGACAATTTTTATGCGCAAACCCTAGTGTCAAAATGGCGCGGCCAATAAAACTTCGTACGCGCGCGCGTGCGCAAAGCGTCACCTGTCAAATTTCTGAACAGTTGATTTACAGTCTGTGTGACGCGAACTGTAGATGTAGATCTCGGATTTCGCTTCATGCGCGTCGCGCGTAAATCAGGAAGCGGCTAAAGACAATACCACGAGAAACCCCTTTTCGCGAGAGAATTTTTGTTGCTCCCGTTTGTTTACGCGATTCGTGCCGTGTCGCGTGCGTAAACGTGCGTGCCGTCCCGCGTGATCTTGTCTCGTCGTGTTAAAACCCGATCCGTCCCGCGCGCGTGGAAAAACGATATGCCCAGCAAAAAGAAAAAGTATAACGCACGCTTTCCAGCGGTAAGCGAATGTAACTGCGCGAGACACCTTGAATGTTTATGTCGAGGAAAGATCATAATTTGTCGATCTTAATTTACTCGTCGGCGACGCGACGATAGACGCGAGCAATGATTGATTGTTATTGTTGGGATGAAATTTTTCGATCCGAACACGTACATATATTCCGCGTTTACGCTTCATGAGTTGACATAATCTAACCTCGCCGTGTCTGTTGTCAGGGTCGTATCAAGAAGATTATGCAGACGGACGAGGAAGTCGGGAAGGTCGCCAGGCGGTGCCGATCATAATCTATCCTTTTTTGATATCTTTCCCAAATACAGATTTAGTATAGGCTTAGCATAGACAATTGTATGTGATGCGTATAGTAGTTTGCATCTGCTATGTTGATGTGCTTCCTTAACAGAGTTTACCTAGAACCCTAGAACTATTTGTACACTCGTTATTAACGAAAACCATGCAGATTACGAGCGCCAAAAATGCTAAGACCCTAAGTCCATCTCACATGTGAGTAAACAATTGTGTTTGGGTGTAAAGCAGGTTCATCCAAATTCTAATGACCATTTTGTATGAATGCAATCTTGCATTTGTTCATATCTGTCTTTAGGATTATTCTAGAGTACTTTGACACATTTTTTCTCTTTTCTTCTCTGTATCTGGGACAAAATAATGCATAAATATTGGAATTTATTTCTTGCAGGAAA